ACTAAAAATAATATTAATTTTCAAACTTGGATAAAAACATCGACTCGTGTGCCAACTATTTACCAACACTAGTGGGGTTAGTATTAATTAAAGTGGAAAATCAACCATGATAACATAATTAATATTTTCACATTCACTAACTGCAATATTACATTGAAACTAAAGTTAACAAGAATATTCTAACAAGTAAGACATTTGTTGCCCCCTTAACACAATAATTAAATGCGTTTGGTGCTAGGGCGTTTATAACCAGTAAACACCCCCATCCATCTCCACCACCCATTAATACCCTGGTTATTGTCGGATCACTCACTGAACCCCTTATCAAAGCCATTGACACCGAAAAATAGCGATACATATGAATGGGTCATACATTTTACTCACATATTAATACACACAGCGGTACTGCCTATAGATAAACAGGCGGTTAACCTAACGTAATATATAGCGAGTATAGAGTGTATTGTAACTGCAGTTACTATACAGTAGTCAATGTAAACAGTGCTGTAATTATCATTGAAATTGATCTCATTTGTGATAAACAGGTCTTTTGTCCGCATCGCTGGTCCTGTCGTCGAGTGATCATTGATTATAGTTGTCGTTGTTGTCGATCACTGAACCCATTGTTGTCGTCATAAGCCATAGACTGTCCGCCAATACACTGATGAGGAAGTGGTGAGTGATATCACTACTCGCGAGTGAAGAGACCACTGGCTGTGAAGTAATGGCCCACCGGATGGACATCGATATGGAGGCGGAGCTGAAGACTGTGTTCGCCTCAGCGATGGTCTGTTTGTCCCCTCAATCGGATCCCTTACCACTCATTGACACAACACTAACGCTTTGTCTTTATTGTCATTGTCTTAACCGCAGATCCAATTGGACGAAGAGTGCCATCCGATGAGTTCGCTGTCCGACGATTGCTATCGTTTCGTTCAAAACGATTTGTACGTCAATTGTTTCCCAATCTTCGACGACCTCCGAAGAAGTCACAAACTCTGCGACATATCTATCAAAGTATAGCACAAAACACACCATTCATTACAACAACCAATCAATTGTTTTGTTTCACTCATTGTTGTTGTTGTTTACCAACCAATAGGTGGACAACCAGTCATTTCTGGCCCATCGGGTGGTCCTCTCGGCGACCATACCGTAAGTGTGCGCTTCTATAGTGTAATACCTATACTGATGCTCACCATTAACTGATCCGCAGATACTTCTACGCCATGTTCACGAACGACATGCTGGAGAGCACGCAGACAGAGGTCCGCATTCAGGACAGCATCGAGTCCACGGCGATGGAAGCGCTGCTGGAGTTCGCC